TCTTTTTTTCATTAAGCATTATTTCTGTACAGCTGGTTTTGCTGTGGCCGCTTACTGGGCAGCTTGGAAGTTATAACCGTGTCTCTGGACCCTGAAGCTGCAGTCTGGGAAGGCTGTTTAAAGAGCACACTCGAACTGAATTTTAGGCACAACTCCAATTTCTTCACYGCAGTATCCTCTTATACTTGTATCAAACTTGTGTTTTATATCTTTTATTTGGGTAGAGAATATTTGCCTTATTGGATTTTTACTTTTTATGAAAATGAACATTTTTAAATTTTAATTAGCCCCTTAGCAGTGGAAGGAGGTTGTAACTTGGRAATTGTCATTTTTTAACATTGTAGGCCTGTTTGTGGGGTTAAGTGAGGAGGTGTTTATAACTTAGCTTCTTTCACAGATATTGAAAGAATCGCCTCTAATGTACAGTGTACTTCACATTATGATAAAAGACAGATAAAAGAAAGCATAAGGAGCACGAAGGGACAGCAGCAGCCAGATCAAATATTGACAATCATAAATGAAAAATGTAGAGATGGAATTACATGGACTTAAGGTTAGCAAGCCCCTGACTTCATTTGATATATTTAAAGGAGGGATAAAATAAGAGAAATAAATGACCCTCCTTTTGAATTTCTCCATGGTGGCTGGAACTTCACTGTAAATTTAGTATCACCATTTAGGCATGAAGCCTTTATATAGTTTTTCTGTTGACATTAAATTCTTTCCCATGAAAATCTGGCTCCTAGGTGTTTTCAAGCTGGCTGTCTGGAAACCTAACATTTCCCTGTCTTTCATCAACCTGATAATTTGTTTGCTCATTTTGTAAACATACCTTTTCTTAAGATAACAATGGCTTTAAGATGGTGCAGGAGAGATGAGGATTTGCTTTTTCGGATAGACTAAGATGAGGGAAAGGCTGGTTCAGGTTAGGGCTGTTATTTCTTTGGGTTGGTGTGGACAGCGAAGGGTGCGGGACGGGGAGCACGAGCAGAGCCCTGCGGATGGTCTGTGCCCCAAGGCAGCCCTTGGCTCCTGGAGGCCAGCGCCTCCGCGAGGCCACGGCTCTCGGACAGCCCTGGATCTGTGGCAGGATCTGCAATGCTGGTAGGAGGCATCTCTGACACACAGGTTCAGATTTTTCCTTCCACAGGACCAGCGAGGAGAGATCTGTATCAGTGGAATTTCATCAGCTGAAAAAGCTGTTTGCTTCCCACCTGTGTGTTGAGAGCAGTAACAGTAAGAGAATAAGGAAAGATCTTTTCTTAATGGTTTTACTGCAAAGTCATTTCCGTTTTCTTCACCTTTCTTATCACAAAAGTGACATGGTTTTAGTTGCTAGACTGCAACATTGAGAAGACAGTTGTAACTCATTCCTTTTTCCCCATTAGCCTCAATGGCAACTGATTTGCTTTGTTTTTGCTTATTGGGAAGCATGGGGCTACTAAGATCCAAAGAAGTGCATTGCCTGAAGGAGGAGCATATGAAGCCATTGGCACAACATTATCTGACCAATACTGCTYCTTCTTTGTGCCTTTCCGTTAGCAAGTCCCTTTAGTGTCTTACACTGAAGGCTCCCCTTCATACAAGAGGTTTGGGAATAAGCTATGAGATCATTTTGAGAACTTTGGAAATAACCTTGCCTTTCCTTATAAGAAATACACATTCACTTAACAGCTTCGCTGGGTCTTGCAAGCCATTTCCCTTCTCAAACCAGTTCTGCTGGATGCACATAAATGAGCCATGGAGGAGCTGTATGTGTTAAGATAATCTACTTTGATGGCAGATGTCCCTGATTAACTATTTCAAGCATATCTCTGCTGCCTTCTCTCACACTTCCTTGGAGATCGTGCCAGGAAATGCAGTTTTCTCCATAGTGCTTCTTTCTTGAGCATTTACAATTCCCAACAATGACTTTTTCTGCTAATTGCTCCTTGATTTCCACTGTGTCTCTCAGAACTTTCATCCCTTTCTCCTCCTCTCTGGGGTATGTTTTCCCCTTCTTTCCTGTTTGCTTTTCCTGTTCCGTTCTGCCCCTACCTACCGCGCTTCACACCTGCTGTTGGTGTGTGAGGTYTTTGCAGCTCTGAGCTGTAAAGCTGCACACCTACTTGAGCTGTCTTGTGCAGTATATGGCATCCAGGAAGAAATGCAAGCCTCATTTATTTTTCTTCCTGTATTTCTTATTCTCTGATTTATTCTTTTAGAGAAATTAAGTAAAAATCTCCCCCTGCCACTTGCTAAGCAGGGCTTCCTACTTTCTGTTCATGTCCATGTAAATCTTTTTATATTTAGATCGCATAGAGTTACTTTCATGTTTTCTCAATGTGTTGCTTTATTGTTACGTRTTTTCACTGTTTTTTTTTTAATTCTTCTTAAACTAAGTGGTTGAGAACTGCCGTGTTTCTCTGATGTAACTACTACAAAGATATCTAAAGCAGAATTATTGTCTGTCTAGTGCTATTTGGAACATTTGCCCAGGCTGGGGATTAAATCTTTGTGGGAAAATAGTTCTACTCATGTTTGGGCTCCCATACGAATACCATTCTTTTGACTAAGTGGATCCTGTTATATTTGATTAGTACAAATATTAAGGTTTCAAGTCTTAGAAAAGTTGAGCACCCCTCCCGTTTTCGTGTTGGTGAGGGGGACCACACACACACGCTCTCCCATGTGTCGTGGGCAGCATCTGTTACACTCAGGTTTGGCCTTTCTTCCAGAGTAGTGAATGAAACTTCCCGTTTGGCTGGTGTTTTAAGAAATAAAGTTGTCAGGATTACAAATGTCACTGCTTATCAAGGCTRCCCGGGCACATGGCACGGAAAGCAGTGCCTGCAGGATCCGCCGGGCCGGGTTCCTGCTCCTGCAGCAGCTTTCCCRCCCCATTCCTCCGGCTGGTCAATATGTAACTAGGTACAAACACAGGAAAAACTTCCATGATCCTAGAGCCGGTGACATCCTCCCCAATCACTGAATTGTGCACAAGGCCAAGTTCATTCCGTCCGTACTCGTTTTGATGCCTAGAGATGAAGTGTGTTGTTCCTTCTCTGTTGAGGCATTGGGAAGGAGCTGTTGGTAGCAGTAGGAACCTGCCCTTTGTGCTAGGGGCTTTCCAGACCCCCAAATCTGGTTGCTGCTCGCAGCTGGCACACACATACGAATATGTATGGGGCAGGGAAATGGAAAGCTGCTAGACACGGCTTTTGCCGCTCGACTCGGCTTTCTKTGGAAATGCAGCAGTGTCATCCCCTCGTGTTGCTTTAAACGCCCCTTTGGAATAAGGTTTTTGAAAGGAATAAGCCTTACTGTGAAATCAGACCTGGCCAATTCCAGTCATATACTAGTACTATATCTATAGTACTAAATCAATATTTTGGGTGAAATCATTGGTTACTTATCTGTTATTGCACTCGGTTTAAATATGTTGCCCACCCATTCAACTGGTGTTTAATTTGGCCCTCTCCTCTTACCCCGATTGAGCTTCTACTTCTCTCAGTTGTGATGTGCCATAGTGGAAAACTGGGGCACTGCGAAGGGCTGGGGTGATTTTTCCTCATTGATGCAGCTTTTTCCAAGCTTCTCCAATGTGAGGAAGGGGCATTTTTTAAAGGCTACAGGAAAACTGATTTGCAGCCTGCGTCTCTCTTGCACGTGCGCTCTGCGTTTGGAAGGTGCCTGCTGCGGCCTGCCTGCTCTCCCGAGTGCAGGGCCTGGCACGGCCACCTGCTTAGGTTAGATTGGTGCTTTTGAGGTTTTTTCTCTCATGCCTGCTCTGTTCCGCAGAATAAAAACAGCAAGAGCAGAGCGGTACTCCATCGTAGGAGGAGGTCCCGCCTGGAAGTAGTTGGTGCCCAAAGGTGCAATGTGCTTTGTAGGGAAATGTGAGGGGCAKCTTGTCCCCGTGGGCAGCCTGGCTTCAGTCCCGTTAATTGGAAGTTGTATGCAGTGCTCTAGTACAAATGTTAATAATAAACTTCCTGATTTGATTGTGCTGCTCAGTGAGTTTCACCAGATAGTCTTGGTTCTGTGAAAAATATTTTTTGTTGTTGGTACAGTGACAACAAACAATCACCCCTTGTGATTTAGCTGCAGTCATTTTGCTGTCGCATCTGACTGTTTTGTGGTTTGCTCTGATGAGCTCAGGTTTGTAGAGGCCACAGACACAGGCTTTTTCTTTCTGCCTTCTTAGAACTGTTCTGTGAAGCTCCATAATGACTTTGAATCAAAATAAAGCAGGAAGCTTTGTGCATAGAGGAAGGCTGAGAAAGAGCAGGTACATTTTCCTAAACTAGTGCTTGTCTGCATCCACTGTTCTGATATTCCCAGGAAAGGCGAAGCTCAGCGTGTACAGAAAATGCCGCATGGTGCTTCGCCCCAYGTAGGCTGGGGGACCCGGCAGCTCCCTCCTTGCTGCTCTGTTTCTCTTTCGCTGGCTGCCTAATGGCCCCAGCTCTTTCATGTGCTTGGCAAGAGCCGTGCAGGCTTTGTCACACAACTGGCGCTTTATCRAAGTGACCAAGCCGCGGCCAAGACTAAGGGAGCACAGCTTGTGGTTCGCCTGGTTGGCCCTTTCCAAGGCAGCGATATTAATGAGGAGCGGTGAGAAAGCGCACGAGGACCCTGCCGGCTTGCTCAGTTCCCAGCTGGTGCCGTGGCTGCTCGTGCTGCCGCCCTGCTTTTCCCTTCGTGCTTTCCCTCCAAATCCAGGCTCCCGGTTTTCTCCGGCCCTTGTCGCCGCGCGTCTCGCCCCGCTCTGTCTCGCTCTTGCACAATCGGGCCCGTGAAGAGCGGCCCGACGTCAGCGCGGCGCCGGTGCCAGCCGGGCTCTCGTGGCCGCCCCGCTCCGTGCCCGTGCCGCCGGAGCGCCGTGTAATCATTACCTTGCTCTGGAGAGCCAAGGTGCTCCTGCTAAGTAAATGTTTACAAACAGTGAYGGAGGCTAACTTTAGGGACGGCAGAGAGAAGCACTGTTTAAAGCCTTGTTTCTCYTTTATTTATTTTAGAACAGAGCGCTGTGCCTAGGAGAGAAGCAGCCGATGAGTATTTTTCCTTCCCCAGGTCGTGATCAGAGGTAAGTGCTGAATCTTTGGACTTTCCGTGGCCTCGGGTCTCCAGGTTTAGGGAGGAAAAGGCTCACTTAATACCTTTTAAATGGTCTTGTGTCAAAATAAAAGGCAAAGAGTYGGGTGGAAGAAGGAATGTGGTTTTTTTGCAGCACGGTCAAGCTGCCCTGCTGCTTCCCGGCCGAGGGGCTTGGCAGGGCAAGCAGTGCCACGCTGCTTGTCTGCAGTCGCACACAGGTCACTGTGAAGTGGCAGCATGTTAATTTGGATCAGAAGCAGCTTTCTGATGCAACTCCTGGGTGAGATGGGAAAGAGTGCTTGCTTATTGCTAAATATTATTTTATTTAAATAGATTTACTACTTGCATAACTTGCGGGCAGTATTCAGGGCAATGTTGTTCAGGATCCATTAAGTGACTTTGAAAAGGAATGGGAAGGAAGTAGGCTAAAAGGCTTTTAGTTTCAGATTTTACTTTTCACAGAATCTCTGACCCGTGCATAACAGCTGTAAGTTTCCTTTGGGGATGACTATATTTATGTTGCTCCCAGCGTACTGGAACTGCATTCATGACTTAAGCCCACAGGAAATATCATAAATGTAATTAAAAATAGAAATATTGGATTGGGTTTCTATGTTGAAGGGAGGGAGTCCTACTTTTTTTTCTCCTTGGTTCTCTGTGGATGAATAGTGAGGGAAGGTAGTTCTTACAGGGTGTGTTTAGGTAAGGAACTGGCTTATATTAGAGTAGACCATACTGTAATGTAGCAGAAAAGCACTGGTCCTGCCCAGGTGTCTGATGCCAGACTCAGATTTGGGCTTCTGTGACATTTATGGCTTCCAGGTGCAGCTAAACTTTGAAAACCTCAGTCTTGTGTTAAGAGTGCAAGTTTGTACAGCGGGCGCTGCAGAAGAGAGCTGATGTTGTTGCGCCTCAGTTGAAAGGTTCCTGCAGCCTTTGCTTGGAAATAGCAGCAGTGACCTGGTTGTGTGTGTGTGTGCGCGCGCTAGGGAAGTCACATCTGAACTACCTTTTCACCAGAAGGCCTGGAGTGTTCCCGGTGGGAGGGTATCTCAGCTTGTCTCCTGTGAGCAGAGCTTTATGGCTTTGGCTGTGCTGAAAATTAGAGGCAGGGGTGCAGGAGGGAAGGCACGTAGCAGAGCAGTGCGTTTCGGGATGGCTCTTGTGCTGCTTCTTGTGGAGGGAAGTTGCTCCCGGCTGGGGCTTAGTGCTGAAACATAGCAGGGGGAAGGGGGATGCACTGCAGCCCAGCCCTGCTCATGCTGCTGCTCTCTGCTTTCTCTCARTTCAGAGCTGAACCCCAGCCCTGATTTTCCTGGGAAGCCATAGATGAGCCTGGGGCCGTGGGTCAGTCAGAGGGTTTTTTCCAGCACAAGGCTCTGCAGCCCCACTTTCCTTTGGCAGCCCTTTTCCAGCCCCCTCGCATCGCAGCTGTTTTCTCTTTCCCTCAACTCTAGCCCTGATTTCTCCTGGAAATGTATAGACACAGACCTCGGGTTCTTGTCAGATAAAAGTATTTCAGAGGGTCAGAAAAGAAGTAGGACCTGTGTGGTGTGTCGCTTCTTTCACAGGTCGCCCTTTCAGTGAGATACAAATAGTAAATCTTGTCTCCTGTAACCCTTTGGATGTCAACTGTAYAGCTACAGTCTGCAGAGACTAGTAAAGGAGCAAAAATAACTTGAAACACAATACAAAGATTTTTGTGCTAGTAATAAAGTGTTATGGGGAACAGAAGGGTGATAGAAGCCAGGAGTATTTTTTTGGAAACTCGAGAAAAGAAAAAGAATAAATTATATAAAAATCTGTAATGGAGTAGAACGGTCATAATGACCAAATCAGAATCCTGYCCAGATTGAATAGTTGTGTTATTCCATAGCCACTTTGTGTGGAAAAGAAATATATTAAATGAGGAAATGAAGATATCATTAGTGCTATGTATTATATATTGTACTAATGTCCATGTATACATGGCATCAAAGCCAGAACAGCAAAAGGAGAATTATTTCACGCGATAAACCTGATATACAGCTAATCTTCTGCCACTGCACCTTTAGATTCACTGACACAAAGCCCAGGGAATGGGGAAAGAAGACAGAAGTGCAGAAATAGGAGCAAGATTACAGAGCTGACAAGAAAAAAGTAGTATAAAACACAAGTTCTCTTAATCACTGTGTCTAATTACTCAAGTACAGAAAAAATACTTWAAAATGGACCGTGACGTAGAATATGTAGTCAAGTAGGCCGTGTAGAACCCCTTTGATTTTACATGAAAGTAACYGTATTGCAAACTGCAGATTGACTTCACTAATTTCACAGGGGGCTTTGGCCTTTCTGTGGGCTTACCCGTGATTAATCCAGTCATTGTTTTAGCAAAACTTTCATTTTGGTTGATAGTATTTTAATGTCTCCTGCAGTGAGAGGCCTGTGCCAAGAATATTCCACAGATAAACTATTAAAGAAAGGAGAAGGGAGAGCCAATTCTAAGAAACTTTTATATAAGCTTTTACTTGCCTGAGTTAACATGATCTTGCAGCTCTATTCAGTCATAGCTGAAAAAGAGGGACAAATTATTCCTTTTCTCTTCCATTTTATACCTCRTCTTTTTCTCAGGTCCTACCTGGGTCTTTTGTTTTGTCCTGCCAGTCAGATCTTTGTCTGCCGACGTTTCTTTGTTCCTCATCTCCTTGTCTGGAACAGGGTATAGTAGCCAATTCCTCTTGTAGGATTGATCCAAGTTTGTTAGTGAGATTCTGTCATGCAGCAGAAGGGCATGACTTAGGGTGCCCTAAGTGGAAGGGGCACTTTCTGTCTTTTAAATCCATCATCTATTTGTCAATTGAATGGCTTATCTTCAGGCCTTGTCGCCCTTCTTGCCATGCATGTAAATAAATATAGTCTTGTGATGGGGAAATAATGTGTTCAGTAAATCAGGAGCTTTTTTCCTATTTTAATGTGGAAAAATAACTTGTTATCATTAAGTTTTCTACTGCAAATGCAAATACATATTTCTCCTTTCTTTCACCTCTCCAGCAAAATGAAACTCAAGTCATGATTCATGTGCGTATATTTTACAAAAACAGTATTAGTGTCTCAGATTATATTTTCTGTGTCTGACATTAAAGTTATTGATGCATTAAGGGGCTAAGKCACGGGCGGAACTGCCAAGACCTGTCCTAAAACCATGCTTAAAGGCTTGGAAATCAACTTAGGTTGTGATTATGGAGAACTGGGAAGGTTTCCCAGAAAGGACCTGTCCGTTCCTGAGTCAGAAGAGATGAATATTGTTTCCAATTACATTTAAATCCATCCCTGCAACCGCGATGCCCCAGCTGCGAGGACCAGCTGTCCCTAAAGGAAGGTGAGTTGGGGACAACCCCAGCACGGGCAGTGTCTTCTCCCATGGACACAGCCTCACGCGGCCTGAATGGTGCTGGTAGCAAGGTCTGTGGAGCCCCAAGCAGGGTGAGTGATGGACCAGGCTCAGGGGCCATCCAGGGAGTTGCTCACAAGGAACCGGAGCCAGAGACAAGGTTGGGTGAAGCCATGGCATCCACAATGGGAGTCTGTCCAGGAGAGTTGATCCAGGAGGCAGGGCTGGAGCAGGGCTGCAGGAGGCATCCCTGGAGGGATGACTAAAGGCCCAGGGCTCAGTGGACCTTAGGCAGGGGATGGTGGCTGCCCCAAGGGGGACCCGGTCAGGGCCACAGAGGCGACTGGTGGCCGTAGGGCCCTGCCACCTGCAGTTACGTAGCGAGACAGATGAACRAGGGGAGAGGCTGCCTGGCCCAAACCCTGATGTGCATCGAGTTCAGAGCATGGGCACGGTGGGTGCCATGGCGGAGCCCCTCTGCACCTCCAAGCTGGAAGAAAAGAGTTTCTCATCACGTGAACCTCAGAAATTGTTGTCATCTCAAAAAGACACTTTATTCCAAACAACATGGACGGTGTCTTGCTTGTCAACTGCTCCGAGGGACAGAGGTATATTTTTAGGAGTACACACCTTTAGTATTTTTTTCCTTTAATCCCATAAGCAGCTACATCTAAACTTCCTAAGATCCAGGCAGTTGTCTGTTTCAAGGGCAGATCGAAAAAGCTAATGTGACATATTTGTCTTTGACTTGAATTTCAGGTAGGGTAGATTTCACCCTTGGCAACATAAACATTCAAACCAGCTAGAAATCTAAATCTGCTGCAAAGAAAGTGTGTTTTTTAGGTTTGAGCAGATCGTACCTTCAGCTGCCTGAAGGGCACATCTTCCCCCTGCCCTCAATTGTGGCAGCATTTGGTTTGTTAGGGGAGATTTATACTGGGAAGCTCTTCCTGTATAAGCAAGCAAATACTGAAGGGWGTTGGGATGAATGCCTGCTTCAATCCTCAGTCTGTCCTAAGGCTGCTGAAGAGGATGAGGCTTTCCCTCAATGATCCCCAGAGAAGTTGTTCTGTACCCATTTTTTTTTCTAGAAGAACTAAGGTAATCTAGATTCCTACTACCCAGTACTCAGTGGAGAAAGGATAGAAGAAGCTGAAAGGAATTCTGGTTTTTGGGATGCTTAGTAGGTGTAAGAGAGTCCTTCAGTAGTGACCCATAAAGGAAGGCTAGGCAAGAGATGGTCCTTCGGAGTTGCTAGAAACATAAATCTTTGGTTAAAACTGGCTGGCAGGTCTGAAAAAGGCACAAATGAAACAACTTGGGGGCGGGGGGGGGGAATGTAGGAAGAAGTGATCACCTTCTATACCATTATTAAGATCAAATTGACATCTGTTAATTTATCATTGATCATTAATCTGTTAATTTATCATTGATCATATAGGCAGAGATGCAGGGATGAAAACTGACCTTCATCTTTCTTTATCTGTGAGCGTAAAAGAGATGGGAAAGGGGTCTTCTCTCTCCTGGCATTTTTCAAAATAAATTTGTGAGCAAACATGTTTGGTGTTTGCTGTCCCCAGGSAGCATTGCAAAACGTGTGGCGCTGGCTGCCGCCTGTC